GCAACTAAAACAGCTATTCTCCCTTTGTACAATCTGACGGAAAAATATCATCGGGACACCCCATAATATTATGAGTTAAACCCATCAGAGAGTCAGATCTAAAACCAACTGTTTCTGCTGAACCAAAGGGGTAGACTTCCAACCTTATCCCCGAACCCGACAGGGTCGTTTATGCCAATTTGACTGTCCTTAGCTGTCGTGCTTGCGGCGTAGGACTCGGATGTGCGAATCGTAGTTAGCACTACTGGTTACAGACCTCAAACAGCTCCAGAAGCTGATGGTAAAGAAAGTGATCTGCAGTCACATACTCTTTGTGACAACTTTTACCCATGGAGGCTGTCACATCATAACTAAATTCAGAGTGAAATTCATTGTGGCAGAATACCGGAAGAGGATAAATTGGGAAGAAAAAGTATGTGTTCCTAAAATGGACACCGAAATGAGAAGATCGTGAATCAACTGATCTGAGTGGGAATATAACGAGTTCACTTTCGTTCGGTAGATGGCCCCATAGCTCAGGTTATCAAGATGAACCTTCGTTCCTGTAAGTAGTCAATACACTCCGCTATCCTAAGTATCGAGATAATGCTCAGTGGTATATGTAACTTCAGGTAGTAGTGGCAACAATCTGGCGTCAATGTGCTTGCATTCTTGTTCTTACTGTCTGGTTTTCATACCCGCGCATTGGTGTGCACACAAAGGATATGAAGAATCCAACTCATGTCATGTGATCGAGTCCATTGTCTGTCTGTCACGCTGTTCAAACACACCGAGACCCATTGATTAATTCGCGCACACATTTAGAGCCCCATAGCTAGAACACTGTCAGGTGTTTAGTGGACATACGAGAAAAATTTCAGCAAGTATACCGTATTCACTCTTCTTCGAATGCTGTGTCCAGGCAACTTGGATTGCTTTTCGGAAAGTTGGAAATTGTGGGGTTCGTAACCATCAGGCTTGCCGAGGGTATTCATCAGCTATGGCAGTCCGAGCATAGGAATTACCCCCTACAATCTGCCCATAGTCTTTGTGGCTTACCAAAACCGCATCCTACGGTCAATAACATTTGTGGTCGTCACGTTACCTACACCCCAACCTGCGATAACAAGTTGATTTCACTGATCGATTCCAAGCCGCCATCCCCCATCCGCAAAAAAGGAGAGCATGTTCACACCACTCCTCTTTCTACGGCCTTTTTTCTGCTCCTGTACGATTCTTTTGGCTCAGTTCAGTTTTTTTTCAGCTTACAAACCGGGCGCCAAGTGCAGCTGCTACTCAATATGAGGAGAATAAGGGAATGAGAGCCACCCGTTGAAGGCGATGGCCCATTCAGCCCCCTGGCGTCGAACGCCCTTGTTTGTCCGGTATAGCAGGAGGTGAAAGTTACGCAGTGAAGCCGATAACGTTGATGCTGGACTGCCATTGACCACGTGACAGAGTTGTATCTGTTAAAGTCACTAACCACTGGTTTGTCGGCTCCTGAGGTCCACATCTGGGGAAAAGGAAGTTACAAAAGCTAACCAACTTTCTGGCGAGTTGATGGCCTGGTTGCAAATCATGGGCTGACCGACTCTGGGTCGTCACCATCCGATAAAAGGCTGGATAAAGAAGGTTATATGAGGCAAACGATCTAATGGCATTCGAAGCACACGGCCTAACCAGTGTAATTTGTGAAGTGTGTCAAGCTGATTAATCGAGAGAAGTGAACTTCTGAAAAAATATCTGCCCTACCTCAGCATCACTCATCTGATACCCTCCAGATACCCACAATTTTTCGCTGAGTGATGCTCTCATAAAGGAAGCTACTCACAAGACTGCTGGAAACTCTCCAACAACCCACGACCGGTTTCGCCCTTATTAGGGCTCATCAGGTAGGCGCAGCCCCCGAGTTTCAGTCAACCTTATGTTCTAATTGAGTTACGCTCGTTAAGAAACCTCAAGGATTCATACTCAGCTTGCCAATAAGCAGGAGGGTTAATTTAAACCAAACTAGTAAGTGAATAGTATCTCCGTCGATTAGCGTGAACTGTTTATATCTTGTCCGTGGACGTACTCCTAACACAGGCACTCACTGAAATAACTCCACCCGTCGGCGCTTAGCACCGAAATCTGGTCGACTCTCCTATATAGACAACCAATTGAAAATTAGAGTAAACTATGAATACTGACGTCACCGGTCCACAGCTGTTTACTTAATGAAGGTAATGACATGAACTCTTGGGATGCAAAAGGTCCACGTGTCTACTTGAATTAGAGATTGTGATGCGTACGAAAAAACTGAGGTCTCGATATCTGGGCGCCGAAGATCTTGTAATTCAAGCACGAGACAGTGGGAGGAGTGTTCAAACGAGAGTGTCGTGAGTACCACTTTTAGGGTTCCCACAGCCAGGCACAGCTAAGCAAGACCTCCATACAAACAAACAACTGTCCCAAGACGCAGCGGAAGGTACTGTTTTTAGTACTCATTACCTGATGGTAATGTTCCTGTTACTGTGCAGCTTATGAGCTCCATGGTTTGATGAATAAGGCTTTTTCTTCGGGTAGATTGTTTTCTAACGTGCGAAAGAATGGCCTAACCAGCAGATTTGATGGGGCGGAATTAATTGACCTTGTACCGCTGAATTTGTCCTTTGCTGTTAGGTGAAGCTTGGCTCATGCAATCTTTAGTTATCGAATCGCATATATACGAGTTCGGGTCAAAATCCGTCTGGACCACAAACGCGATGCGGTCAAGTCTATCAATCATATACTATGCAAATCACCATACACGAAGCACAAACAAGGGCTCACGCCAAATGAAACAACGTTTTGAGAGGCAAATCGATCCTGACCCTCTTACACTAGGCGATATGTCAAGCTTCGGGCTTTTCTATCTTGTCACTTGAAGCTATCAGATCGGAAGGAAATATGGAGTATAGTGAGTTCATAAGATCAGATATGATCCGCTGGTTCCATAGAAGAAGTTTATCGAACTTTTTAATCCCAATAAGAATCTGATGCCCGACTGAACACTGCAGCCAGTAAGCCGAATTTTATCCTGTGTACTTACACCGCCTTAGCAGTCAGACATTACAAGTTTCGAGGAATCTGAATGCAGAAGCAATTCAAGCCTACTACAAAAGGAAAAGCATTCATTCATTCATTCATAAACCTAAGGAGTTGTAATAAAACACAAGAAATGCGGATAATCGGTATGCTCAAAAGCAAGAAACGTGGTATTTTATTCAAACGCCCACAAAGATCTTGTGACTTAGACGTCATTGGTGATTCTGGGTTAACGAAACTGATGAGTAGCTGCTCACAATACAAAGTACATTTGGCAAAGTGGGTGAAATCGCTGAGTGAGAATTAAACTCCACAACTGCATGCAAAATATGTGCATTGTCGGATGTAAACCTAATCCTGCAATATGTAACTACGCCTAGTTGATGGATGCTAGTCTTGTAAGGTATACGTGGTAACATGCGCGTGTGATTTGACTGCGCTACTCATCGACTAGTCGTGTCTTTATTCAGATCAAAACGATTTCTAGAGAACATATCAATGGGATAAAAGATAAAATACTACTGTTCGGATAATGACAAAACATGCGAGAAGGGCTCCCAACGTACCTAAAGTTAGGCAAAGATCAATGAGTGCGAAGATGAGTTTTCAGCATTTACAAAACAACACAGATACCAACTGCTAGCAGCTCACAAGGCGGCTCTAAACAAACCAGTAGCTCTTTCGATTAGGACAGGTAATGCTTTACAATGGACTTGAAATGCTAAACCAGGGCAATTTAAGGACAAGTTTGGCAAACATTTTAAGTAGGGAATTGGTGCAAACTGCATTTTTCATGTGAATTGTTGTGGCGCTGTTGTGGCGGGAAGAGAAGGAGCCAGAGTTCAACCATGTTTCTGTCCACCGCAACTGACCTGAACAAGCATACGGCAGTTACTTAAATCTTGAGAACAGTTTTAAAAAGTTGGAACTATGCGTTAGCAATAGACAATATCAGCTGAGTTAATTTCGTCCGACTAACGTACAAGGCATACGCTGCCAGAAAAAGCAAGCCCTTCTTTGGTTCTAACACAATTCGAAACATGATACCAGGGCAAGTTTGACAACAGAGTGAACGCTCTGCAAGGCCCACCTGTTTATCGGTGAATCAATAAGTTACAAAGTGACGTTCTACAAAAATCTCGACTGTTTGTCAAGCTGTCTCATCAACCAACTGATCTCAACGGTAAAAGAACAAGACGTGATCAGAGCTCAACAAAATGTGTTCACTGACATAGGAGAACACATCTTTCCCTTTTTTGACCTTGTCAGGTATCAATACTTACTTTGACCAGCCAAGTAGGACAGAACTTGTAGCAGTCGATTGTTGAAGTTGTCACCAGTTCGCGAATTTCCATATGAAGCCGCAGAAAGCTTGAGCCGTTGTTTGAGTTGTGTCAGTGGTATGGTAGTTTGGGTTTCACCATTGATCTCGATGTCACAGAGGTCTTCTAGCAGTGTTTCAACCACTGGAATAAAAAAATGTTCATATCTTTGGGTTCAGCCTTTCAAGAAAACTCCATGCAATGAAGTAAGTATTAGAGGAACTCAACTGGCACCACCCAATTCGCACTTATGGTTTCCCGCATGGTGTATTCAAAATGTGACAAAGCGCTGAAAGTTCAGTAAGACTCGACAGAGCCACGGTCGATAATCAAGAGATAGGTGAGTCTGAAGTAGCGACGCATGACTCTTGAGACCCACACCATGAGGAATAAGGGAACTGTGATAAGTAGGCCCTCAAGTTAAAAGGTGAAAAAGGCGAGCTCACGAGCGCGCTTTAATGAGCCTGATATGGAATATTAGACTCAAGCACTAAGCTTCCAATAATCACTGGAATTATACGGAATCCGCTGGACAAAACAGCAAACAGTTTTGATACAAGCTCCGGAAACCGGTGAGCAGCTGTTTCACATTTATTCGGGAGTCAGCTACAGCATACGCTATCTGAGTTTTCTCGAAGTTCGAATCGGTGATCATAAAGCTGTTTACATAGTCTGTACGCTCTGCAAACTGCACATTTTTGCTGTTTTTAGCGCGAAACACGAAAACTGTCTATATGATGGAATAGACACAGACTCACATACAATTCTGGACTACTAGAAGGTAGTCTTGATGAGATCCATGTCTCGGAAAATACGAAAAAATGTATGATAGTATAGCGTGCCTAAACCCGATGCATCCGGTCGATTCAAAACAAAGTATTCCAGGACAAGCCATTTTCCGACACTGGCTTGTTCAAATCCAATAATGATTGGCTTGTTCATCATCGGATTCTACCCAGGGGGTGTAAAAATCTACGTCTATTCATTTGTATGCTACAGAAAGGTGGAAATCATTTTGGAAAATGAGCCAAATCTAACGGTCACTTATCCGTTCATCTTGTCGACCTTCAGGGTCTCTATTCTTCTTTCATAAGCTGCGCTAAAAGTCAAACAAGGACGTCAAAGCAGATCATCGTATGTAACAGTATCCGTGATATGTCCTGTCTACGGATAAAACCCACCGCGTTACGGCGTTTCTTGTGAGACCCAACTAGAGACAACCAATGCCGTTTAGTGGGCGATGGCACACGAAAAATTACCTTTGAAACGGTGGGCGGTATTGACAACCGGATACATGCCTATGAATATCAGGATGAATTTCATTCAGAAAATGCTTAGGTCTGCATTCTGTCTTGACGTTAAACAGGAAACATATTTGTCGAACAGAAAGAATTTTTCTACACATGGATGCCATCGATAAAAATGTAGGCAGAATGTTAGCCTCTTCTACACAACACAAGGGCGTATTCGTATTCCAATCTGCGGCCGAAAATCCTGATTAGACATTATGTTCATGGGCTTTGCTAAATGTTCTTTTTGAAGGTAGTGTATCATGAACTTTTGGCTAAATGTTGTTGACTAACGTCGACTTTGTTGCGGCACACTTCAACCATAATTACTTCACGAGATCCTATTCAGGTAAACAAGACTCATATATCTGGTTGAAGGGGCTTGGTTAGAAGGGCTTGGCTGCATTCTATAGGTACATATGTATATATTCTGCATTTATTATATAACCGGATTCCGTGTTAGAAATTCTTTCCGAAAGATAAAGGGTTGAAACCTGACTAAAATAAGGCACAGGGATTCTCCGGTAAAGTGGACGAATAAATTATTGCATACACCATGTTCTCATTTGCCGTGATCTGCCTTCACTTCATTCGGTCTGTTTAAGCATCATGAACATACTCACAACAGATTTTTGTTACCCGTTTCTATGCCGAACACGTGTCCACTTCCTGGCCACTGTTCAAACCTTATTCCCGTAGGAATCTATCGATTCCTACCATCAGTTGACTAAATAAATTGGCCAGCACTATCCACACCTAGGTCCTGACATATCACTGTTCCACTAGCCCGACTGTCAGTGACTTTTATCAGTATGCTATTGTTGCGCTTTGCTTTGCAGCCTCAGAATCGTCAGAAATTATGACTTGGAGTTGATGATATACATTTATTTGCATCAACCGAAAAGTTCCTAGCAACTTTACGAGCGGTGTTTTCGCTCAGAAAAATATGACTTGGAATTGTTTCCACGTCTGTCTGCCTAGGTATCAGTAAGTACTAACTATCCATGTCAGAAAGGAGAGAAATCGTATGAAATGAGGTTCGGTCGGGGTTATCCTTTTTGTGGGTTTTTTCCCAATAAAGAATCAATGTACCTTCTCTTAATTGCTTAAACTGAAAACTACTCGGATGCCCACCATTACAAACTCAAGGCAGCAAGTTGGGTTGGGTCTCTGGATGCTCAGCCATTGAGGATAGCAGCCGTAGATATCTCGGTCTTCTAGTGCACACTGCTCGAAGAAAATAATCAGCTAAATGGTTAACCCCGATTGTCTGAGGCTAAAAATCACTCTAAAACCTTGATCGATCCGCGGGGTTTTCGATGATTTCTCTTCGAAGAGTTCAACACAGACAAAATTTCGCTTTCCGCCATTTTCTTTAGCAACAAGAAAAAGCGTCGGACTGTCAGGTTTATAGGAAATTCAACGAGCCTACCTGGTGTGGTGAGGGTATATGAGCGGATAAAGAACACGTTCATTTCAGTAAGAGGGGAGTATGGAACTATGGATGGAACAGTAAAAATTCAGTGCTTCTATGCTCTATTTCAATTTTACCTCACTCAGTGCTTATACATAAGAAGAGATGAAACAATTCCTTGTGAAATTGCAGTGCAATTTCACAGTTACCCCATCCAAGTCTCTGTATAGCTAGTTAAGGCCGGCTATGCAACTGTATTCGTTTTCAACATGGACTGAATGAACTATTTAGTGTAGTGCTTATTGCATCCAGGGGGCATCTTTGGATACACCAAAAGATGTCATCATCAAGGCTGCTTCCTAGTTTTCTAGAAGATGAGTACGTCGCTTTAGCTGGAGTTATGTTAATATCCGCTAGCCTCTTGGTTGACGTGAACTGTGTGCTGAAAGGCCTAATGTTGTTATGATTTTAATAGATGCATCTTGTTCACACTGTTGAGAAGCGGCTCGTTGCTGAATCGTACAGTGTCTAACTACCAGCCG